CAACGGGAATCACATGCCAAACTACTACGACATGTCGGAGAACCATCGTCAGCATCAGCTCAGCGCACTACAGGAGCAAACAATGGGGTAACAGCAGCAGAGACAGTAGGAGCCACGACTACGGGCACAGGAAGAAGACAGGAGCAAGACAACGGCGTCCAACGACTACACAAATACAAGCTGCCACCATCGTTCTTCACTGGTGACGACTCCCAGTACGAAGAATGGCTGCTCAAACTATACAAGCTTATCTCGGACTCATCGACCGAGACTTCGACATGGTGCTACAACTGGCGCAAGTAGCTACACGACAAACTGAGGGTGCAGACATCAGAGCACACGCACGCGACCCTACACAAGCAACAAAGGCAGCAGAGCGCGCAAGAGATCTACACTACATCCTCATCAACATATGTTCAGTAGCAGCAGCTACAGAGGTACGACAAAACCGCCGCAATGCAAATGGATGTGAAACACTACGACTTTTGCACCTCGGTTTCAGCCTACCAGTAGGAACACGAAGCGTTGGCTAGCACCTACATTCAGCGAAGCGCAGTTCGAAGAACAATTCCTACAATGGGAATACGGTATACGACATCAACCGCTACGAGAACGACAACGGGGCAGAACTACCAGATGGAGTGAAGTTTCACATCACAAACTACAACGAGATCAGAGCGGTCATGCTGAACAACTACAAGACGATTTCCGCTTTTTCAAGATCGACGTCAGCAGTTGGCACAAACTACAACGGGGGACCTGCACTGATGGACGTTGACAACATTTGGAAAAAGGAAGAAGCTACAAAGGCAAAGGAAAGAACAAGGGACGCTACAAAGGAAGCACAGGCAAAGGCAATGACAGGAGCAAAGGTTACCACAAAGGGCTTGACAAAGGCAACTAAGGAACCTACAACGAAGGAGGATACAATAAAGGTTAAAGGAAAAGCTACTTAGGATCCAAAGGATTTGGATCAAGCAAAGGCTACAAAGGCCAAGGAAACTACAGCAAATCAAAAGGAAAAGGAAACAGCAACTACATAACACGCCACAGATGTGGCAAGCCTGGCCACTGGGCACAGGAACAGTGCCTGTATGGCACATAGGAGAAGGAAATGAACTACATCCACCTGAGCAAGAGCACGGAGATACAACTACTACACCTCCACACACCACAACAACGACGACACAGTCAAGCGCGCTACAAGATGCATCCTCTTCAAGACTACAGAGTTTTATGGCCACTATTCTCTTATACGACTACACATGGTTCAGAGGATGTTCATCGATTACTACTTCGAATTTTACGACAACTACGCATCACTATGCTAGTGAATCTCGTGAAGGACTACAACCGGACCCGGGGCGCTGGCCAGGAGTTGCTCGACTACCTCAACGATGCAACTACACGCCAAGCATTGGAGGACATGAAGGTTGCGCAGAGGAACTTCTTCCGGGAGCACTCGGCACGAAGTTCGTCGGGAACTACACCTCTTTGATCTACACTCAGTTTGACTACTGAGCCTGAACAGTAGGCGACTTGGTACATAATACAGTAGCATTGATGAACAGCAATGCTTTCAACACTACTGTCTGTCTCTGTTGCTACAGTTGTAAGATACTACAAGACCGTTACAACTGAAGGACCGTGCCAACGCACATGTGGTGTGGTGCTACATAGCTTGTACATGACCGCAGGCCTTGAGCTTATCACTACATGAGCCCATGCAAAATAGGAGCTGTGCAGACTACAGGTTTGACTGTTTGTGTTAACAACATTGTTTGTTGACATTTGCAGAGAATCCTTTCATTCCGTCGGGATTGGTAGGTGGTGGGAAATGGATTTCGCAACCATCCACAGTATGTAGCAGGAAGCTCACGAACAGCAACCCTTTGTTGTGTTTTTCCACTTTTTTGTCGACTGTTCACATGATGGAACCATACGGGGGTTTCAGCTTCGGCCTTTGTGCAGGTAGGGGCAAGCTCTTGAAAGAAGCGTAGGGTGTGGCAAACAGCTCGCGTGCCCCCATCAAGACAGCAATTCATTTGTCTACTGGTTCATCGGGCAGGTGAAGTGTAGGTTTTCCAGTGTAGGCCGTGTCCGCGAAGGAGCTTCAGAGGCACAACCAAAACACAGATGAGCCAGCAGTTTGTTTCAATACGCCACCCGTTCAGATTGGCTCAAGCCGATGTACCAGGATATGCTACATATACAGCTTGACTCGGAGAGGTGTGGGTCCCAAGATGGCGCAGTGAAGCCAAACGAGTTCCTTCCTTTTCTCACGTAGTGGTTCAAGACATGCTTGCCCGGCGCCTGGGCTGCAAATATGTGAATGCGCAAGTGCTGACAATCATTCACCTCATTGAACGGCAGAAGGAGACAATCTGATGGTACCCAGTGACCATCTCAAGGACAAAATATGCGACCTTGAAGGGCTTGCGACCTTGAGGAGGTACCTCCAGCCAGGGCGTCAGCGTGCTTGAATTGCAGGGGTTCTTCAAAGCCTACTGTAGCAGCACCGTCACGTTTGAGATGCTTGTAGGATTTGGGGAGTGGTGAGGCTGACACACACGGAGCTGTCCCTTTCACGCGGGACAAGCTTCGGTGTAGGACTTGAAGCAAAGAGGCAGCACGCTGCACTTGCCTTTCGTGTGGACTGACGCCAGTTAGAGCTTGGACGTGCGGCTTGCATCATCTCGTGCGAGGGCCCGACATATTTTGACAAGGGTTCGGAAGCACGAACCAATATTGTGTCTCAACTACCGCTGGAGGCCGCTTATGTTAGGCATCAGGAGCATTTGTTTTCCATGGCTTGAGCAAGACAGGGCCAAGTTGAGCGCCAAGCTGGCTCGCAGGCTTGTGATACATTCACAATTTGAGCCGCGATCGTGATGCAACTTAGTCTTGCGAGTTTTGGGGTGCCAAGATGGGACTCCGCGGAATTGAAGGAATGGCTCAGGGTGCGGAGGCTTGCAGAAGCTTCCGGGGAGCATGTTGAGAAGCGTGGCGCTGCAGCAGGCCACGGAAGCTGTGCTTTCTTGTGCGGGCACAAAGATCGTGCTGATCTTCCCCCCCATGTAGCATGCTTGCAAGCCGCGGAAGCAAACACCCGTGCCGCGGGGCGCTGGTAGAACCAGTGCTGCGGGCTCGCGCTCGTTGTCTTGAGCTGGGTGCACCGCAACTTTCCGGCTTGGGATTCAATTCAATGATTGGGGCAGTGTAGCATTGCTTCAGTGGCTGGCCGGGCTCGCAGGTTGCTTGTAGGATATGTTCAGGAGGAGGGTTAGATGGCAGCGCAAGGAGCCTCACGTTGCCCTGGCTTGAGCAAAGCAGGGAGCCGTTTGATCCAACCAGCTCGGCTGTGCCCAGAACTTCACGAGAAGCTGCAGTTCCGGACATATCGGACATGCGGTCGTGGTTTGACGTTTGCTTTGTGGCTTGCTTTGCATCAAGGTAGTTTACATCACAAGCCTTAGCTAGTGCCAAAAGACTGCACAAACTCACGGGCCATCCAGAGCGGCCTAAAGCGCCTAGCCGACGCTCGACACATTGCAGTTTGGAGCCCTATCAGTTGGACTCATTCCAAGCGAACCAAGACGAAACACACGCAACTCCAGACTCCAAATATCAGGGAACAGGACCCTGCTGATATGAACGTGGATTAGTGGGTGTTGCAACAGACTTACATTGATGCTCTGTTTCTTACGTGCCTTCAAAAGGCAGCCTTTCCTGATCTTGTTCCTGCAGCCTGGGGCGTTGCCATCACGAAACTGACAGCCATCATTTCCTTGGATTGCAGAGATGCCGTGAGTGGCTGCCGAGGTGCGTACCGTTGGATGCAATTTGGTGCGTGAATGCCCCAGCGCGGAAAAAGGGAAACAACTTGAACATTTGAAGATCTTGAGCGAGAGTGAGAGAGAGAGAGCGAAAAAGAAGAAAAAACAACGAGAGTGAGTGAGTGAGTGAGTGAGTGAGTGAGTGAGTGAGTGAGTGAGTGAGTGAGTGAGTGAGTGAGTGAGTGAGTGAGTGAGTGAGTGAGTGAGTGAGTGAGTGAGTGAGTGAGTGAGTGAGTGAGTGAGTGAGTGAGTGAGTGAGTGAGTGAGTGAGTGAGTGAGTGAGTGAGTGAGTGAGTGAGTGAGTGAGTGAGTGAGTGAGTGAGTGAGTGAGTGAGTGAGTGAGTGAGTGAGTGAGTGAGTGAGTGAGTGAGTGAGTGAGTGAGTGAGTGAGTGAGTGAGGGAGTGAGGAGTGAGTGAGAGGGAGGGAGGGAGTGAGGGAGTGAGGGAGTGAGGGAGTGAGGGAGTGAGGGAGTGAGGGAGTGAGGGAGTGAGGGAGTGAGGGAGTGAGGGAGTGTGAGGGAGTGAGGGAGTGAGGGAGTGAGGGAGTGAGGGAGTGAGGGAGTGAGGGAGTGAGGGAGTGAGGGAGTGAGGGAGTGAGGGAGTGAGGGAGGGAGTGAGTGAGTGAGTGGGTGAGTGGGTGAGTGGGTGGGTGAGTGAGTGAGTGAGTGAGTGAGTGAGTGAGGGAGTGAGGGAGTGAGGGAGTGAGGGAGTGAGGGAGTGAGGGAGTGAGGGAGTGAGGGAGTGAGGGAGTGAGGGAGTGAGGGAGTGAGGGAGTGAGGGAGTGAGGGAGTGAGGGAGTGAGGGAGTGAGGAGTGAGTGAGTGAGTGAGTGAGTGAGTGAGTGAGTGAGTGAGTGAGTGAGTGAGTGAGTGAGTTGAGAGTGAGTGAGTGAGTCTTTACCATTTTTCTTTGTGCTCCGTTCTGGCCTCATGTTTTTGCCGCGAGCAAAGTCACCCGCGTAGGAAGGGAATCTCATGGTAACGTTCAAAGCTTCTCAGGGCTCCTTAAGAGATACATTTTGCCCATTTGAAACATGTTGTTTTTTCCACCAAAACAAAGGGACACCACCATTCACAAGTTGAAATGTTCAGGTGTTTTTCCATCCGGATCCCTGCTTCTGACTTTATGCCCAAGAAAGGGTCAAAACAAAAATCCCAGCTGGCAGGTGCCAGTGGTGGGTGTGGGGTCTACACCAACCTGCTCCAACCCTCCGGAGCAGGGCTGGCCTGGGGTTACAGAGACCCAGCTGCAACGTTGGCAACTGCTTCGTGGAGTCGTTGGTCCGGCGGGGGGGGGGGGGCAAAGCTATTCTTTTGACCTTTCAGTTTCCCTGGTTTGGCCATATTTCGTCAAGGTTCTAAAAGGTAATGGGTGTTCTGGGCAACTGAGACTCACTTCCCCCGATTTCTGGGGTAATCATCCTATATCATATGGTTGTTGCATTGGATTGGTGCCTTCGATTTGAAGTTTCTCACCCCTGGTTCTCATGGTTGCAAATGAGCACCCTTTTCGAGGGAAGCTGACAATGGCTCGCGGTTCTGTGGGACTTTTCGGGGGTTTTGGGTTCTGCCAGTGGCTCCCTTTCGACCAGCGGAGGGATCGAGATCCAAATTTCGCACCACCGAAAAAGAACCACGCGGACGAGACCCCTTGTTCGTTGCCATTTATGGCGGGGAGTCGTAATTATCATTCCAGGGCTTCTGAGACGTGTTGCGAAATGGACTTCGTCACTTCGTCCATCCACAGTATGAGGAAATGGACGGTCCAGTTTGGGGTCATCCCTCATTCTCTACTGATCAAGAGAGGCCCCCTTTCTGCCTTCTGCCTGAACCACTGGGTCAATGTTTGGAAGCATCTTACTTGGGGCCTTTTTCCAATCGAATTAGTTGTTGTTTGAGGCATTTGTTTTAAACATGATCGCTATGATGTTTGGCGCATAGAACTTTTTTTTTGTGGGCCGGCCAAGCTACATCTCTTGACTACACGGATAGTACACGGATGATGGTCGCAAAAGATGAAAATCCTTGGTTGAGGGTTGGACAAAGGACGGTGGACGCCAACAAGAATCGGATGCTGCGTACTTTACGGCTGGTCTCCAGCTGAAGCTGTAAGTCCAAAAGGGTCCAGAAAAGTCATTGGGCTTCCGTTTGTGGTTTTGAGCCAGCTAACAAGTGGAGGCCCCACAGATATCCTTCTTTGGTGGGGTTTGAGTGTGCTTTCGGATGGTTTACTTTAGCAGGGTTCATGCCATGAAGAAGGGTTGGTTCTCCTCGAAACTGGGCATCACAGTGTTTGTGAAGCATCTTTGATTTTGATCTATTTTGGCGTCACTTGAGAACGGTTAATTTTGCCCAACGGTGGGCGTTCCTTGTCTGACAAGAAGCAATTAAGGCACGGGGCATAGCCCCAAAACGGACCCGTTCCCTTCGGTTTGCCTTGAAGCCAACCCCAAACAAGTTGCTAAACACGCCAATACGCAGATGGTAGCCCTCAAAAGCGACAGACCCATCCCCAGAGGATGGGAAAGAAAGGAAACCATACCTGGAGTCTCCATGACCCTTAAAAACGGAGACAGTACCCAACATACACAAAAAAAAAGACCCATCTCCAGGGCTTGTTGGTGGTTTTTGACATCACTTGTTGGCCCATGAATGTCCCGTGGTGGTGATGTATGTTCAGAGTTTAAGTTGGAATTTTGAGGATCCTTTTGTTGGAGTCAAAAGACACCGGATTCAGGAGATGCACCCCGGGAATTACATCTACTACGACACCATGCAGGAGAGTCTAGGCGTGTCGCCCTTAGCCGTTGGTGGTGTCGGGACACCTACTGTGGATGGACAAAAAATCCTGCATGCACCATATTGAAGCCGTGAAACCATTGTGGTTGGTAGTGACAGGGGAATCATCATTCCAGAATTTCCTGGGTTTCTTGGGGTTTCTTGTTGGTTTGAGGGGACACCCATTGGATGTAGGGTTTGATTCCTTGTCCATTTTTTTCAACCATCGCTCTTTTCAAAAACCGGATCGCTGTTTTTCTGGGTGTTTGATGGTTTCCTGAAAATCAGGATCCCTGAAAAGAACGGGGAAGCTTCCCCTAGAATGATTGAAACACCATAAAGTGGGTCCCTGAAACATGGGGTACTGGGGAGGGGGAAGGGGTGTGACCCCTGGAATTTCATTGTCGCAATCCATCGTCCAAAGAAGGACTCGAAAAATGGAATTAGGCGCCCCCCACCCCCCCCAAGCCTGAAACCCCCGCCTGAAAGGTAGGCGGGTAATGGGTCCCAAATCTGCGACACTCGCTGAAACAGAGCCCGGGCGGACGGATGGAAGACCTGGGAACTGCGCTGAGGCAAGTCCCGGTGATCTAATTTCTATCTCCAAAAGGATTCGAGCTCAGGGTAGCTGCAGTCTCCTTCTGACCCTTAAAAAAACAGGGGTCACTACCCAAACGAAAGAAATAGGGTCATGGGCCCATTTTTAAAGGGTCATGGAGACTGGTAGACTGAGTATGTGAGTCCTTGTGTCGGGATCCTCCTTTTCGCGGAAACCAACCAATAGGGGATCAAGGTTTTCTCCCATGGCTCTTATGTGGGAATCAAGCAGCCGACGTCTCACGGAACGTGGTTATTTCTGACAAAACATATCCCAGGCGCCTCTTTCTTGAGGACCTGGCCGAAATCAAACCCATCAAAACCCCAATGAAAAACGCACACAAGAGTTCCGTTTCGGACTTGGATCACTTTTTGGGCAGATCTTTTGAGTGGTAAACAAAACAGTTCGGACTTGTTTGGTCGATCCACGCAGGAAGTGAGGTAAGGGATTTTCCTAAAGACGCCGGACACCCAGTTGGATTCTGGATTATTCCAGATGGGTGCAGATGTCCACCCTTTTAAGTCTTTACTTGGTTTTGGGACAAACCTGTCTTACAGGGTCGCTAGAGGACTTTCTTGGTGGTAAGACCCTGAACGTGGGGGCTTGCCCTTCACACAACCCACTCAGGGACTTATTCACTGGGGATATGAACCCCTTCCCAAATGGGGTGGTTCTGATATGAACCACTTGCTACATGAGGTGGTCGTTCAAGTGGGATGGCACAATCTAGTGGATCGATTTGCCAGTTACGTCTTGAGAAAGCAATGTTGTTTCCTGCCCTTCAAAGACTAAAACCTTAAAAGCCTCCGGACCTCCCACCCAGGTTTAAGGCCTTGCCGCAAGTCCTTGGAGCTTGCGGGGTCTTTTGGGTACTTCTAGGGAGTAGCAATCAACTAGCACATGGACCCCCAATTGTGGCCCAGCCATTTGCTGTGAAGTCTGCTAATTGTACCTCTTGGTGAAATATGCGCACTGATCGTGCCCATACCGCAACTTATGAGAGTTATGTGAGAACCTTTACTAGCTCCCCCAGTAGTGCCCTTTTACCGATTCTTTTTGGTTGGGAGGGTTCCCCTACTAAAATCGACAAAACCGAACCAACATATCGGGTACCAACTTATTCTAACCCCTCAAATCTGGAGGACCTAGCCATAGAAAAAGGGAACTCACCCAGAATCTTCGGTTGCAGTAACCCAAGGTTCAGGGAATCTTAAAGGTCCAGGTACTTGGTTTGGAACCAACTTGGTAGAACCCAAAGGTTGGGTGAATCCTGATTTTTTTTTGGCGCTGAGGCGTGTGCTCTCCAAGTCAGACAAACATGGACCCAGGGAGATCATTTTCTTGAGGTGGACAATGATCCCTCCTTTTTCAGCTCCTGCCATTAATTTGCAGGGGACCACTTGGGTTTGTTTTTTCAAGCTCGGTACCTTTTTAGGTTGGTTTAAGGACAATCATATATATTTGCCACATACTCAAATAGACACACCCCATGGGTTTACGTGGGAAAAACAAAGGGTGCCAAGGTGACCATCAGGAACTTCATCCTCCAGACTTGGCCCCTGTTTGACGCTTCGCCTCTCGCGCGTTGCTTCTCGACGGCAGGCTCTTGCCAGGAGGAGGACATCGCGGTGCGGGTGCTGATGCGAGTCATCGGCGCCTATGAGAAGCTCAGTTGTTCAGTGGCACCGATTATTTTTCCCAATTTTTTTCGGTGGCCCCACTAAAAATGGTCTTCCCCAAAAAAGGTTCCCTTTGTTTTCCAGGGTCACTGAACAACTGAGGAAGAAGAACCTGCTCCTCGTGGACATGGGCTGGACGGCTTGCTCCAAGCAAGGCGCCTTCAGCTTGGTATGCCTGGACCCCGCCAAAAAGTGCCAGCCACCCCCCAATGGCTGGCCAGTTGCCGGCACATCGATTTTGGGCAAAACGATGTCACTTTATGTCTAAGTGACTGCAAAAGCAATTTGCTATCAAGTATCAAGCATCTGTACTTAGTGCAATTTGTGCAATGATACAAGTGACCGTTCAGGGTCCTTTGGAATGGGGTTGCAGGGGAAAGGGGAGAGCAGCAAATTTGAGGTTTGGAGGGCAAGTTTGAGGTTGGGAGGGGTTCTTGAGGAGCGTGTCACGGCGTGTCAGGGCGTGTCGGGGGGTGGCCAATTGCCGGCACATGTACGTTGAACGGTCACTTTTTTAGGATATGAGCGTGTCACCAGCGTGTCGCCCCCCCTCCCCCCCCCCCCCCCCCCCCCGCGCGTTGCATGTGCAATGATCATACATGCCAGCCTAACCCCTCAATTGGATCCCCTCTAGTATCCTGAAGTGACGTTTCAACAAAAGTGACTTTTCACTGCACTTTGATGATGGCAAACAAAAACTATGTGACTACAAAACCATTTTTAAGCAAGTGCTGGTCAATTGCCGGCACTTCACCCAGGACGCCAATTACCGGCCATCGGGGGGGCCTTGGTGAAAGATGAGTGGTTGCCCAAAAAAGTTGTGGGGTGAAGTCCCTTTTTTATCGGTAGCTTGAGGGTCCAGGTGTCTTATTTTTTCAGAATTTGGACCACCCAAATGTCGGGGCTCCTGTTGATTTACTTCAAAGAAGGAGACACCCCCCCGTTTGTTCAGCTCAATTGCCCAAGGCGAATCGACCTTTTGAAGTGTTGGTTTTCCCTTTTTGGCCCATGTCTACCAGGGGTCCCTATATGTCCAACTTCTTGGGTGCTTTTAAACATCACCTTTTTGGCAACCATGAAAGGTGAGTATCCCTTGGGGGTGATGTTTTAAGGGGAAATCACTCGGGAGCCCGGTCAAATATTCCGTCACCCCACCAGCGCCGCCCGAGTGCTGCCAAATTGGCGTCACTTAGAGGTAAAACACGAACAACGTCACTTTTTGGCTAAGTGATGCTTTGCTGAATTTCCACCATATCCCCTAAAATCGGACGGACATACGAGGGCAGGGGCAGGGCAAAAAGTCAGTGTGACCAGAGCCAACCCCAACACAAAACCTGCTCATGGCCCTTACAGCAGACGGCCATGAAAATCTCCATCGCTATGTTGCTGGGAGGGTACACCAAAAGAAAACCACACATTTTGAAGGGCCCCTTATTTTGAGAGAAGCCCTTTTTTGATAAAGGACAAACATCATGCTGAGCTTGTGTTGCCCAGATCTCGTCATATACGCAGAATGGACCCCACAGTCTCATCTTCATTGCCTGGATTGCTTAGACGTCATTTCCAACTGGCTGACTTATCACTAGCTGGAGTCCCCATGCCCCTTGAAACATGGGTTCATAACCCCCTGCGTTTTGGGTAAGGACCAACAGCCATTTTTTATTCGGGTCAGTCTCGAAGACTCCAGGTAAACTAAGTCCAGGGGAAGAACCAAATGCGAGTTCCCTGTTTTACGGGTAGTTTGAGGGGTCCAGGATATGAACCACGACCCAGCAGACCGCACATGTTGTTTATGTGGCTGTGGCTCAAAAAAACGGAATTCCAAAATGAAACCCTGGTAAGTGGAAACATGGACCAAAACCTGCGGTTTGCCCCTCCGATCGTCTAATTTTGAGAACCACACCTTTTTGTGTTTCGACCTCATTGTTTTTGAAGCAATAATTAGGCCACTTCTCGATCCGTCCGGCTCATGGATCCCAACAATTCAGTGGCCCAAAGCACCCATAAAAGGCGTTAGCCTCGTGCCAGGACCACCCAACGACCGTCGTTCTCAATTTTGTGAAAGTGCCGTCAATTTGAAGGCACTTGTGAAAAAATGCAATCGGCAGCACTTCAGGTCTATAACCCACCAGTTTGGAGCCATTCTCAGCCCATTCATGGCAGCTGAGTCTGCTAGGCGTTTTCCAAGCTCAGCGGCCGTAAGAACTTTCCGCATATTTGCCACCCCCGCTGTGAGCCTGAATCTGGACAAAACAATTTGCAAAGGCTTCTGAACATCTTTAGCGAACAAGCAGCATGGGACAACGCGGGGCGACACGGGACAATACAGGGCGACACGCAAGCGACACGAGGCAAAGCGAGCACGACAAAGGGCGGCGCGCGAGCGACGCTGGCCAAGACGCACGTGACACGCAAGCGACACGCAAGCGACACGCAAGCGACACGCAAGCGACACGCAAGCGACACGCAAGCGACACGCAAGCGACACGCACCGACACGCTTTCGCAGCCGAAGTGACGCTTTGGGGGCTAAAAAGTCATGCCTTGGGGCCCCAAAGCAGCACTCTCACTCTGCGTGACACAGGGCGACACGCGAGCGACACGCAAGCGACACGCAAGCGACACGCAAGCGACACGCAAGCGACACGGGGCGACGCGCATGCGACACGCAAGCGACACGCAAGCGACACGCAAGCGACACCCGAGTGACACGGAGCAAAACGCAAGCGACGCGAGGCGACTCGCAAGCAATGCGCAGGCCGAGCAAACGACCTGCAAGCGACATGCTCGTGACGCGGAAATTCTCTTTAAGACTTATCTGATCTTTCAGGTACCCTACAGGTGCGTTCTGTTTGTGGGAGAAAGGGTTTCGGCCACTCAGGTGAGCAGCATGACTTCGGGCGGATCGAGAACCACCCGGAGCTGAGGGTAGTGAACCTGAAGCAGGAGGCTGGTTCGTAGGTCCGGACCTGCTGGCATTTGGGTCGGTCTGGTTTTTTGGAGTTGAAGTACCTGGACCCTGAACAATTCCAGCTTAGACATGGGTTATTGCAGCCCAACATACGTTTGGTGATTTACATTTTTCCTTTTTTCGGTAGTTTGAGGGAACCCGGAACCCTTACCCCCTCGTTGGAAGACTTTCTTGAGGGAAACCAAAAGGACCACCGCCACTTTCGGGGTTCTAACACAAAGACACACCCAGGTGGCATTTCCTTCTTTCGACTTTTTCCCCGTATACATAGGTAACAAGGAGTGGTGACGGGGGAGGCTCCGTGACAGGGTTTCAGCAGAGTTCCTGGGCTGCTGTTGAGGATACCACCTGCACTTGGGCTTATTTTGGAGGCGCTGGGCCTCTTCCAAAACAGACTGCCAGAAAAAGGTTGCCGAAGCATCATTTTCCCGATGGAACTGAGATGTGTTTTTCAACTGGCTGGGGTCTCGGAACTGGTTGCTGAAGCTCAAATTGCTGGGGTCTGGGATGTGTTTGCCTGTTTCAGGGTTCCGTTTGTTTGAGTGCCGACTAGACTGAAACCCAGGTGGAATGATGCAAACACCAACAAACAATGCATGGTCGCATTTTGTGGTGCGAAATGGATTTCGCAACCAGCCACAGAAGCAAGGGAAGCACAAGCAACCCGATCTTGACAATGAGTTATTGTTGAAGTAATTTCCAGCATATTCTTCTAGCATATTCTTCTAGCATATATATTCAATAGTTATAGTTTAGTTTAACGGTGAAATATGCTACCTGAACCTTCAACTACCTATTAAAATAGACGGGAATTCAATCATAACTACGGGGAAAGAACCCATTTAATCAAACACATTTTGAGGCTCCAGGTATACTATACCTAGAACACCCGATGTGTAAAATGTCTTTTTTTTGTTGAAAAAGCAGTTATTTTACACTCAATGGAGGTCCTATGGCTCCTCTTGCCATGGATCCGCAAAAACAAGAGGACCCACTTCTTGCATAACGACGAGGAAGGAACCCATGTTCAATCGAATTTTGAGGCTCCAGGTATGCTATATGGCTCCTCTTGCCATGGGATCCCCAGGGGGTTTGAGGACCCACTTGCCGCGCGGAGATGTTCGAAAGGCTGGGCTCATCTCCTCGAGCGACGGGGAGCCCTTGGACTTCGCCCGCTTTCCGCTAGGCCTGGTGAGAGCGAGGGCGGGAAGTTTTTTTCGGCGGCCGCCCCCCAATTATTTGGGCGAGGCGAGCTTAAGGTTCATTTCTGGTTGTGAGTTGGGTGAAGCCCCAGGCACTTTGGACTTAGTTCGAGTTTGGCAGCTGAACTCACTGTTTTTTTTGGGATGAAAACCCCGGCCCTATTTCTTGTTGGCGTTTTGGGTGAAACCCCATTTCAGCAACCCTCAAATCCTCGAAATACACGTTTAGAGTTGTGTCATATCGGCCTTAAGAAAAACCTCAAGGCAAGGTGGCGGAAGCAGGTGCAAGCAAAAGCTCCACATGTGTCGCGCAAGCCAAAACTTGCTGGTTCTAAGCAGGGAATGGGTTGGAATGCCTCCTACAAAGTATCCCCTGTGGTTTCCTTTAAAGGAATCCCTAGTTTCATTCCCAATACCCTGGGTCATTCCCTGCTGAGCACCAGCAAGAAACCATTGTGTAAGGTATGCGAAATGATGTGACATGGCAAATTAACGCACGTTTAGGACATGCTGTGGATGGTTGAGAAATCCTCTTCTCGCACCACCGTTCAGAAACCCAACGGAATGATTCGATTCCCCCGCAAACACCAGCAAACTTTATTTGGTTCGATGGTTTCAAAGTGGTGGGAAATCGATTTGTCCATATTTATTGTTGTCTTAGTGTTGGCATGTTGGGCTCTGTGTGGTTCCCTGTCACTTTCACAGAACATATGGACCGTTGCTCCACGAGGATCTTGATCGAGAGCGATTCGTGGGGGCCACTCAAGACGCGTTTGTGTAACCCGTGCCCCCCGAGGTTGGGGGTGGAGATGCCATCAGGTAAAGCAGGGCTCCTTAAAAGATCTTCATTGTGCAACCATTTGAAACATGTGGCTTTTTCAACACCAAAACAAGGGGAAACCACCAGAAGACAAGTTGCAATGTTCAGGTGTATAATGTAAAGATCCCTATAAAGTGAGGCTGCATTTAGGTTGGCAAGGGCAGACAGAATAAATTGAGAGGGGAGTTCCTCAAGTTGTGGTCCCCATTTCGGCTTGGTTTCTGCTGGGAAGTGAAAAAGACAGCAATGCTAGGAGGGGGCAGGGGGTGGAAGGATCCTAGCCGCTTCCTTTGGCGCGATCTGGGAATGCACGCGAGCGAGGCACGCTGCTGCGCTTGGAGCCCTATCACTCCTGCGCGCACACCAAGCAGCACGACAAGTTTCTGTGGCCGCAACGCCTGGTTTCTGTGCAGGTCCTGGGGGTTGTGGGGTTTGCTGAAAACCGACTTGTTTTGCATGAGCCCGACTTGCTTCTTGGGCCAGGAATTAGTCTGCCACTTCTCTTTGTTTGTTCCTGTTTCTTGTTTTGGGGGATGGTGTTTTTCCCTGTTTGTTTTTGCTTCTTGTTTTTTTTTTTGGGGGGGGGGGAGGAGGTGGAAGCCAGGAATCACAATCCCTTGGTTGTGTAGCTGTTCCGCCGTCCGAGCGCACTGACATGTTGTGCAGCTCCACTGAGAACCTTGGCAGATGACATGAAACCCACACCCAGTGGATCCGAAAAACACAAAAAAAATGGTTTTGTATGTAACCAAGGGGATCTTTGGGGTCCCGGTATAGGCTGTGGGTTGACTCGTTACCATCTCCGAACATCCCCCCTGAACAAATTGAATTTGGGGGGTGGGGGGTGACCCCTGAAATTCCATTTATGGCAACCCATTGCCTTTTTTGGGGGTAAGACTAGAAAAAATGAATTGGATCCCGGGCCCCCTATGGGGGATCTCTGAACCATGCGGATTATGGGTCTTGGTCCGGGTAGCCTTTGCCTGCAGTCTCCATGACCCGAAAGCAAATTGGGTCCATGACCCCCTTTTATGTTCAGTAATGACCCGGCCCATTTTTCAAGGGTCAGAAGGAGACTCCAGGTGGGTCACAATCAAAGCCCGGGTAAGTGAAGGTTAGTAAGGCTAAGGGAAGGACCCAGCCAGAATTAGTTGCGGCCGCCTTTCTAGTTCTTTACATGGTTCTGGGGATCGACCATTTTAATACCGGGTTTCATTGTGACTCAGGTGACCAGGTGGGTCTTTTTGAACCCAGGGGGGTCTTTTTGCCACCTTTTGCGAGAAAATTGGCGACCCCCTCAAAAAGGAATCCTTCACTACAAGGGGGTCGATCATTTGTTGCCACCAAAGGTGGCAAAAGAGACCCCCTGCTTGCACCTCGAGCTTAGGATCTATGTCTTAGACGACGACCGGCGCACCGTGCTGGAGACCTGGGACATCTGTCGCGGCTGGTGACGTGCGGTTCCGTGCGAACGGAGGCGACACCCACGGCACGGACGTTCAACCCACAGCCAGTGATTCCATGCTTTGGTAGGTAACCAAAAGAACCACCCTTTAAACAAGCCAAGGGAAAATGGTTGGTTGCCTGCTACACCGGTACCTGGGCTCCACTGGGTCAGGTAGGTTGAAACTACAAGGTTGCAACGGGCGGCAACTGGAATATCTGGGGTTAGTTGGCCTGTAACCGTGCATAACTATGTTTATAACCCACTAAGTGGGTTGAGTATCCAGGGAGTAATAGGCCGTAGTGGGACCAAAGCGTAGGGTCTCAAATTCAAGGGTGTGGCCGAATCGCCCCGTTTTGGACCTGTTGGTTTCACACGGGGCAGCTCCATTAAAATTACCAAAGATCTAACGACCTTTATTAAAGGTGAAAGAGAAACTCGGCTAGTGAGTCCTTTTTCCTTGGGCGGGTGTCCTTGTTTCCTTTTCTGGGAGGAGGTGTCCCAATAAAAAGCGGCCATCTTTGTTGGAAATCGACCCATGGGTCCATCTCTTTTTTCTCCAGTTTCTTGGTGTTGCCAGGTTTGGTTCAACTCCTCATACAGCAACAGTGAACATACAACAAGACACAGACGGTGTGCCCGGAGGTCTGGGTGTGGGCAATAACTTCCATTGCCTGAAATGAATATGTGTTATGTTCCCTTGGTTTTAAAGGGAAGCTATCACTATCAGAAATATGTTCTCAGCATAGGTGTCCTTTTTAGTTGGTTTGCTTAAAAAATAGAGGGCCCTGGTTTAGATGGGGTTTATTCCATTTACCAGAGCCATCTATTTTTCCAAAAGGCCACCTAAGGTTCTCATTTTTTCCAGGCGGCTTATGCAAAAGAAGGATAACGTTGTGATTCCGAGGGTGTGTACACCCCAAGTCTTCCATTTCGGGGGCCTAAAAACCTTCTGTCGAATCGCCGGGAGGGTAACTAGGCAAAGGGGGGCAGCAAGCCAACTTTTTTCAGGTCCCTTACTACCTGCCCGTTTTTGTTTGTTTTTGTTTTGTTTTTTCTTGGGGGGCAACAAGCCCAACCAGGCTAATTGTTCGGATATTTAGTACAACCTTTAAGTTTTGAAGAGCATGGGCCTGTTTCTCACATGCAAGTTCCAGCTTCACCAAAGGACAATCACGTGCATAGATCTCCTTGTTGGTTGTGTTGGTAGAAAAATAGGTGGCCCTGGTTTACCTGGTGGCATAATCATCTACCAGTGCCATCTATTTCCCCTAAAAGGACACCTATGATCACGTGTGTATCATCCCGGCCCGTTCAATTCGGCGCCCTTTCCTTGCCTTCAGGTGTCCTACACGACGCTCGTCCCGCGGAAAAAAAGTCGGCTGGAGCTGCGTGGGTTGGCCGCCTGCCGAGACCGTCTTGACGAAACATAATTGTGGGGTCCCTTGCCCCCATTTAAAAGAATGGCAAGGACCCAATTGGGATGATGAAAATCCTTGGGTAAATTAAGGTGGTTATATGAACCCCCATTGTTTTAATGGTGGCCTGAACCCCAGACATACGCTGTTCCAAGCTTGTCACCTGCTCTTGAAATCAGAGACTCACAGATCATGTTTTTGGACCAGTTCGTTTTTTCAGAGTTGTGGAGCGCCATACTCAAGGCCATAGCCAATTTTTTTCGCGGAACCCCAGGAGGAGAAGCCTAAGACCTGAACGGTTTCGGATGAACTGAGCTCTGGCTGATGTTGATTAGTTTTATTTCAGGGGGTTTTCCGGATCACTTTTGGGGGGAACACCTGTTTAATCCAATAGATGCATCCGGGGTGACTTGTAAACTTTAATTTACTTGTTGTTTCCCCAGTTGGTTTTAAAGGGAATCTATCACTACTGGCAATATGTTGTTCTTTTTCTCCGTCCCCTGGAAACATGTTCCTTTGTGTAGATTCATTTTTTGAAGGGGCTGCAGAGCAACACTGGCACTTGGTTGCTTACCTCATAGAGGCAAACTAAGGCACGATAAGGGCAACAAAGACTTGAACAGATGGGTTTGAGTAGACCCCTTCAATACAAGGCTTTCATCATTGCTTAAATGCGTTCTCAACGTGGCGTATTTCTTTGGTTGCAGGGCCCTAAATGGGCCCTAAATAAACCCCGCCTCGCGGGGTGTTGCCTCAGTCTTGTAAGTTCCATCCATGTGACCCATGTGTGGTTTCACTTTCACTTGTCGTGAACCCCCCTGCCAAGAGGGTGACCCCTGCGTTGGCCCGCCTCCGCGTGATGAGTTGACAAAAACCCGCTTCACACCAGTGGGAATGGATGAAGCCCTATATTAGCTATGTATACTGGGATAGATCACTATCTGCTGCAGGATTTGGTCCATCCACAGTATTGCATGGCTGATCGCCCTGTTTCGGAGCTTTTGGTTTCACAAATGGCTTTCCCAAGGATGCCTATCCCTAGCCCCTTGGACCCTACGTCTCCCAGTAGTGCCCTTTTACTCGTTTTTTGGGGAGGGTTCCCCTACCAAAATAGACTACAGAAAGAAAGGGTACCCTTATTCTAGCCTCTCTACTGGAGGACCTAGGACCCTTGTTTCGGACCCCAAAGATCTCGAAGGCCTGACAGGGCCACTGGCCACTCGGGCGCGTTGAAAGGCCGAGCTGGAGCGGGCTACGAGCCGGATTGAAGAGGCGACCCTGAAGCTCGCGTTCGCGCCGGATCTCAATCATGGCGCCCTCTCAACAAAACCTAAAACTTGATTGCCGTTGGGTTTTTAGACTTTAAGTTTTTGGGAAGCAACTGGAGTTTTCCATTGAGCCCACAAAGAGTTAGACATTTTGCAGAGGGGTCAACAGCAACCAAGAAAAGGAGTTGGTTAAACTGGCTAAACAGTGGCATACGACGGGTGATTTGGATTTTGTAGAGGTCATGCGTGTCAGCGACAATAGCGCCAGAAATTGATAGGGGATTACCCAAAACCAATATTCCGGCAAAATGGGTATGGGTCAAAATACAAATATAGACACTATTATATATAGGGGATTTAAACAGCTAGGATTTTATTATGTCCATTTTCTAGGGGCAACCAATTTTCAACATGCAGCTTTACACAATCCTAGTCCATTTGGGAGAATCTGAGCCGCTCCACAAAGGATAACATTGAGGGTGTCTTTTAGGGGAACATTTGGTTTCTTTTGGCTTCCCTTCAAATCCACAAAAAGAGGGTACCCTGGTACCCTCCCAAACAGACACCCCCCGTATTGTTCCCTACCAGGGTTGGGGGCTAAAATGAGGCTTGTTGCGGCAAACGCCTTACAAAGAACGCCATACATGTCCGAATTCAACCTGCAAGAGGTGTCTTGGCTTTTCCCAGCCATCCCTTTATCTTTTGGGCTTTTTAGTTGGTGTAGTTGTTCAGTCTCCTTTTAACCCACTAAAAGTTAGACTTTTAGCGGGGGGATCTGAGGACAGCCCAGGTTTAACTGAATGGTTCGACCTTTGCTTGTTCGGGCGCAGGGGGTGGCTGATCTCTAGGAGTGGGACACGGCACTCAGCTCTGGGCCCCAAAACCCCTTTGCAAGACCCAGATTTTACCTTACTCGGCTTCAATACGGCGGCATCTAGTTTTTCTTTTTTTTTGGGCGAGGTTTGTAATTGCATGGGCCAAGCAATTCAGTGGAGAATTGATCCAAGCACACATACAAGTACCCCAACTAGAGTTCGCACTTGTAACCTAGGTTCCGAACCAGTGCTGTGGGAATGAGGGGATGTGTCCCACTCTTGGGCCTATTGTGAAGATCAACTGAGTATCCAGGCTGAAAACTTTGGTAGGGTCCCTGACTCATGACGCCAGGTGGCAAGGAGATTCCAGGCGGTCAAGGAGCAGTTCGCTGCTCAGGCGATGCGCTGAGAAATGCTTCCTACTTGGCTCAAATTCCCGATTCTTTCCAATGTTCACCAAAGCAAGACAAATGAGGATGAAAAGGGGAGGGGTAGTTTTGTTTCCTTTTCCCACACCGCCTAGTCAACAGCCACTGACCCAAGTTAGAGGTTAATCCTTAAGGCCAGCATTACGAACCCAGGTGACTCACTAAATGGAGGTCACACACCTTCTAAGGCACGACAAACTGGTCTTGGCTGTGTCTCGATGGTTGATCAAACAAAACATTATCGACTCACAGGGTGGGGGCAGGGTCGAAGTTTGGTGACATGGTTTTGCTTTGCCTACTACTAGTTATCCTGGTAAAGAAAATTGAAGTCCTAGGATTCCTAGGTTTAGGCTTAGACATTGGCATACAGTGCCCAATTGAACGTGCGTGTCAGCCCACCTGCCAAGTGAGCTCCCGAGAGCACAACCAATTCCTGATACAAGCATTCCATTGGACAGCGGCCCCCTCCCCACCCCCAGCAAATTCTGACCGTTGAAGTGATTCTTCAGGGTTCCTTAATACATTTGATCCGGTGGAATCGCTGGGTGCCACCGAAACACGAGCTAGAGGGAGACCGCCGGAGACCGCTCCGAATTGTAGGTCAGCCAGTGAAGGCAAAAACCGAATAGGGAAACTACGGCCAGGGTTACTTAAAGGATACATCCGAAAACCACGTGCTTCACGAGGCAAGCACGAGAAACTTTTTGTGGCCCAACTTGGTGACCAAGGGAACCTGCCTTAAGCTAAAAGGAAGGGGAAGCACAAAAACCACCCTAACACGGAAAGCAGAATGACTGGCTACCCGCGTTATCGCTTGGCTACCATGAAATCTTCGGTCCTCGTAATTGGACATGGATCATTGCGCCCAGGAAAGGTTATTAATCAGGGGGGTGCCATTGAAGAAAGGCTTCCCCACTAAAAGGGACCCCCCTTAATACTAAGTGGGGTTAATTTTCTCGGGAGTCAGCATTAGCTTTCACGTTGTGATGGGTGAAGGCAATTGGCAATTAACCCTTAGAGCCGTGTCTTGGGCGCCAAGGGGTCGCGAGTCGCGCCCGAAAATCCCATGAATCCCATGTCTCAGTTGTTCAGTGGCACCAATTATGTTTCCCCTTTTTCTTTTTGGTGGCTGCCCCACTAAAAATGGTCCAAGCCCCAAAAAGGGTTCCCTTTTTTTTCCCAGGGTCACTGAACAACTGAGATGTGCTTGCGGGGAATGAGGACTTTAAGCCAGGGCACTGACGAGATCGCTGCCAGGCTGTGGTGCTTCAAGAGGACTTCCCAGCAGAAATCTCAGCCCGCGGTCCAGCATTTTTTTCGTCACGAAGGGTGCCGTGGATGTTCAAACCGTTTCAGGGAAGTAGGCTACATTTTTTGGTTACAAGCCAACTAAGCCCAGTTGACCCTGTCATGACCTTGCTTCCCAAGTGCTTTGAACATCTAAGTGGCTTCCTTTGAGGTTGGAAGCTTGGTGCATAAATTAAGAGGTTTAAGTACCTCCCCCAAGCTTTGTCCTTGTTCGGTTGCTCTTCCAATACTCATTCAGAGCCAACTCGAAGCCATGTGAAGGTGCCCCATTGTCCGGTCCTGAATGGCCCCTGGTCACTACAAGCTACACACAGTCAAGCTGCAATGAGTCGCTCCCCTAGGGTTCTGAGTCGCGTATCATCGGACGGGCGGGGCTTTCCATCCAGTTACTCTTTTGGTAGGTAATAGGCTGTGGCTCAAAAACATGTACTAAAATTGCATCTTGGTAAATGGAACCAAAGACTAAAACCTGCGTAACCCTAGCTCTTAAATTTGGAGCCACACCAAATAAACTGTGTCCTGTTGGTTTTTATGTCGGCGGTTCCCTTGGTTCCCTACACCAGGGAAATGGATCCACGGGCTTGCTAAGCGTCAGCTCTGTTCCTAGCACACCTACCGGCGCACCTCATGTTTTTTGGCTAGGGCGGCACATCCTGTCCGCCTTGTGACCTTGTGAGGCCAAAAAAAGTCGCAGGATCCCGTGTGAAGTGCTCGGCCCAGCTGATTCTTTCTGGAGTCAAGACATGGAATGCCCCTTTCAACATGGCCGTGCTTGAGTTTCCATGGGATCTACACCCAAAATGGGTACCAACGGCACACCCGAATTGAATCAGGAAGGATAAATGAGCTTGGGGGAAGGGGGTCTCCCACTCGCATGTCACTAACCTTCCTGAGTCCCAGCTATCCCCTTAGGTTTTTGTCAGGTTTTTAGTTGGTTTAGTGGAGAGTCGTCATTTCATCCACTGAAAATAACCTTTCAGCCATTCCTGGGTCCCCCCCCTTTTGGCCTTTCGCTGGAAACCAAGCACAATGAATGGCCAAGGTTCACCCGGACCAGCAAACACCCCCAAACAGGGTTATTGTACCCCAAAATCATGCTTTTTTTTGGGTAGTTTGAGGGTCCAGGTACTGCTCAACCCCCAAAGTGGTTGATGGTGAATCAGTCCCATCAATGAAGAATGGGTCCCAGAATTTTGAATGGTCTGAACAGAACAGGTGGACAAAAAATAATCCCATCAAATTGTGCTCACCAGTCCTTCCATTTGGTTAAGAATACGTTTTATTTCCCCCTTTTTTGGTTTGGAAGTTGAAAGCGATTTCACTCGACCTATCATTCCTCATAGTTTGTGTCCGGACGAGCACACGCAAGCGCAGGAGTCCGTGCTGGAAACCTGGAGTCTCCTTCCGACACTTAAAAATTGGTTGGCTACCCAAACGTTTCCGGGGTGACTCATCCCATTGTCTAGGGCTCAGAAGGAGGCTTTAGGTATACTGCTTACCATGTAGCAGAACCATGTACTTGGAGTCTCCCTGAGGTAATTACCCAAAATAAAGCGGCTATGACATGACCCCTTCTTCTAGGGGTCATGGAGACCAGGTAGAGACTCTGGGACCATGTTGTTCGGAGCCCGAATAAAGTCGGAGCCGGCTCCGCGGGCGCCGGGCGCCGAAACCGCCCAGGTCGAGCCAGATCTTGGCACTTTAGAGGCGCAGCTCTATGGCGTCTATGGCTTGCGGTTTTCACATGTTTCAGCGGCCTCCTGTGGTGCTGGAGGTTTGCTTTTGTGGTTTCTCCAGCTGTTTTTGTGGGGGGTAGCTGTTGGGGTGCTTCTGCTTCTGCTTGAGTTCCGGGTTCCTGGACTTGAGTCACCACAAAATTTGGGTCTGGATGCATTTTAGCAGGTTTTTGGCTTCACTGCCAACAAAATTGATTTTCCCTCCCTTCCGCACACGGCTAACTTAGGAAGCCTTTGTGTCGCAATCGAACATGCTGCCCCTCGACCAGTTCCTGATTCAACCCAGGGCTCTCTACGTCCCTCGTGAAGAGGATGTTGGGCGGGTTTACAGGAAAGGAACAGTTTATACTTGTTTTCTTCTCGTCAACAGGCTCAGGAAGTGAGTAGCCCGAACCCAGGAGAATGAACGATTTCTTAAAAGATGGGCGAAAACGTGGATAATGAGCAGGATTGACTCGCCGGGCCAATGGTCACCCTGTGTTTGGGCGAGTGAGTACCCTGTGCGTAGCCTCGCAGCTTCCTTGTGATAGCCGACCGCTGGTAGCCAGGGGGGTTACCTTAATTCCGCTCTTTTGTACGTTCGAGTGCCTGGATTCATCACCCCGCCCACCCCACTTTGAAGCTCCCAACTGAAGTGGGCTATGGGCTAAAGGGGAGCTATTTCAGGAGTTTGGTGTGTCCGAGGGCTCGGACCGAGCCTTTGTTCGGGCTCGGTGGGAAGGAAGCAGTTAGCCAGGCCCCAAGGGACGAAAAGAGGAAAAGTGTTCGATCCCTTCTTGCGGTTCCATGAGTTGGCTGGCTGGTTCGATCTATGATAGGGAATGAGAAATGGAATGACCCCGAGAAGAACCATCCCCCATGGTTTCCTTTCAGGCATTCCCCGACCAGTTTTTTCCCAACACCCGGACTTGGTCATTCCCTACCGAGCACCAGCAAGTTGGTGTCTTGCACATGTTCTCCCCAAAAAGGGCTCGCTCGCTCATGGGATGAATATATCCAAGGATTGTTTTTTGTTGCTTCGTTTCGCACAGAAAGCCCTGGAACAGGTTCCCCACAGTTCTCGATATCCAGGTTATGCAGTTCTTACTGTTGATGGACGACATCCTGCACCTAAGAATCCCTGGCATGATAAATGATTCCCCTGTAAATACCAACGAACAAAGCTTTGAGCCATGGTTTCATTAACTAGGTCCCCCAGTAGTGCCCTTTTACCCTTTTTTTGCGGGTATTCGAACCTCTCTACTGGAGGACCTAGTTAACCGTGGTGCGAGACTCGCGGATTTCGATTTCAGCCACATTCCCGGAATTCCCATGCTGAAACGTCGTGAAGTTGCACTTTTGGCAACCTCCTTTGTTTGATTCCCATAATTCCCATGAACAAAACCTTGAAGCACTTTGCTTCATGTTCGCAATTCCCAACTCACCCCCCCCCCCCCCAAGTTCATGGACTTTCGTCACTTTTTAGGTTTGGACCCTGTCAGGGATAAATACCCAGCTTGGGCAATTCCCAAAGCACCCCCGCGAGTTCATGGACTTGAGTCAGTTTTAGGTTTGGACCGTTGAAGTGAGAAATAGAAAGTCTGGGTACCCTGACTCCCACTAACATGGCACCTGATCAGGGGTCCCTGCAAGAGGGAAAAATGATCTTTCAGGTCCTGCAGGTGCCATGTTACTGGAAAGGAGGGTGCGTTCCACTGGATTCTTTGGGCCATCCACATGACGGGGTGTTGAGCCAAGGACCCGTTTGCCCCAGCGTTTTTTTTTTTCCAGACTGCCAGGCCGCGGTGGAGGAGGCTTGCCGGCGAGCTGAGCAGTTCTGCCTGCCAGGACTAGCGGCGGAGTGAAATCCAGGTGGACGTCATGAGACCTATGGGCGTGGTTGTCAAAACCGTTTTGGGATCCCATTTTGGGGGGGTTTTCGGTGCACCACCTATTTTAGAGCCTATTTTAGTGGGGATGGGGATGTTCACTGGGTGTACGGGATTTTGACCCATGGCCGTATGATGTTGGCCTCAGATGAATCAAAAATCAAAACCAGTTTATGAATATGGGGGTGTTCCCCTCCGAAAGTGGTCTGACTCATCGGACCCCCATACAAAAAAAACCTGGGGTTTGTGAACAAAAGTGATGAAATCTCCAGGAACACCCCCCCCCCATATTAATAAACAGGGGTTCTGCCGAATCTGGGGTCAACAGAACAAACGACTTCCCTGGAGTCTCCTTCTGACCCTGCAAAAATGGGCCGGGTAATTACCCAACAGAAAGAAATGGGTCATGGACCCCTTTGTCTGATTCGGGTGAGACTCTCGGCCTATAGAACCCCCCCCCAAAGACGGCAGATGTTTGGCGCAGTTGGCTTGTGGGGGGGGGGGGCCTGGGGTGGTCATAGGGTCCATGATTAGATTTCTTGGGTGCCTCTTAGACCATGGTTTTTGTCTTCCCCGAGCCCCAGTGAGTTGTTTTGGCCACAAGGCAAAGGCCAAAACGGAGGTCAAACGGTTGAACGATGTTGGCCTCGGATGAATCGACCCCGGTTTAAGAGGGGGGTGGCAGGGTTCCCCTCCAACAGTGGACTGATTCCCTGCATTTTACTCAGGTTGATGTGCCCCATTCCTAAAAACTGGGGTTGATGAATCCGGATTAAACATTAGATCTGTCCCTTTTGGTTGCTTTGTTCAAAAATCGATTGCGACTCCTGGTTGACCTGGCTGACTATTCCGGGGTTCCCATGAGACCGGGTGCCCGTCGCAGGAGAGGACGCCGCTTCCAGTCCGGGCCTGAACCCGCGGCATTCGACACGGGAAGCGATGGACTGGGGAAGATTTTTCAGCATCTTTGGACCTGTTGCTTGACTTCCATTTGGTTAAGAATATGTTGGATTTCCCCCTTGTTGGTTAAGGGAATCGATTTCACTGCTGGATATGTGTTTTTGTGCCAGGGAACTGAAGCAAATGGAGGTTGATATTGAAAGGGAAACCACAGGAAACTGCTCGGAACCCTCCAAATTCCAGCTTGAAGATGGGTGTTTGCAACAGAAATACTGGGAATTGGTGACGTCCCTTTCTTAACGGGTAGGTTCTTTCGGTTCCCCGTGGCACGGTTTTTTCGGGAACCGTTTTGGGGTTCCATGGCGCGGGTTCGCCGGGGGCGCGTATGGATCCAAAGATGCGTCCCCCGGGTTTAGTTGCCGCCACTACAACCCCCAGTTTGGGTTAATACAACCACCATTATTCACCTAAGCCCCAGGGTTCAGTTGCTCCCCTTAAGGCAAATTCGGATCACAATCCTGAACGGCAAAGGTTATGGTGGTTATATGGTTTGCCGTTCAGGATTGTCATCATTCAAGTTGGAACCGCATGGGAGTGCTTTGTGAACCAGACTTTGGGGCTTGGCGGCGGCCTTGGCGCAAAGGGAAACATGGACCGCCCCGTTTCAAGCGGTTTTGGTTTGCCCTCGTGTGGAATTTACCCTATATCCCACCTAGCCTAAGAATGTTGGGTCAAACTGGCTCAGGAAACAAACCTCAAAAAGGGGTCCATCCTCACGAGGTAATTGGTTACTTGGACCCTTAGGCTACCAACTCAAACAGCTCTTTGAGTTCACTCCCTTCCCAGATCCGGACCCCTCCACTTGAGGGTGCGATGCCTCTGAGGCGCGTGCTGTGACCATCCGCCAGGCGCCGTATGCTGATCTCTCTGTCCGCTTCGAATTCGACCTGAACCATAGCTTCCATTTGCTTAAGAATATGTTTTCCCCTGTTGGCTTTAAAGGGAATCTATTACTAGTGGATATACGTTTTTTTTTCACTAGGGGCTTAAGCAAGCAAATGGAGAATAGAAACCCGGATAGATGGACTCTCAAAATCAAGCTTGAATATGGGAGTTGTTGCAACCAAGTATAGAAGTGGGTGAAACCCCCCCAACTTTGCATGGGTAGCTGGGTCCAGGTAGATGAAGGTGGATAGGTCCGCCCTTCAATGATTGTGACTCAAAACTGAGGCCGGCGCCCAAGTTGGTCAAAAGGTTGTGGTTGATCACTCGGGGTGAAACCAACCACTTCTACACAAGTTGGAATCTCCCCCTTATGGGGGGTTAGTCTTTGGGGTTAGGCGCTTTTTGCAACGTATCACAGATTCGTGGATTCCATTTCCACAGCCCGTTTGTCAAAAGACAACAACACGGCCACAAGGAGAGCCAGCTGGATTTGTTGCCTTGGGCTGGCGGAAAAGGCACCGTGCATTTGTCACCCCCCTCCCCTTTTTTATTTCTCCCCTCCTCTCTTTTTCCCTTTATCTTTCACGTTCTACATACATGTTGTTTTTTCAGAGTAATCATTAATAATAGTGATAGTAGCAACAATAATGACGATAACAATACGAATGATGATAATCATATGAGTTATGATAATAATAATGATAATAACATATAACATACGCATATGCATGGGTTTGTCCGCACATAATTTAAATGGGCATTCCCTCCCCTCCAAGCAAAATGTGGTTTGACTTCCCAGTCCACCCTATGCATTATCCTCCGGTAGCAGTGGACATGATATGGCAGTAGGAGATTGATTTTGAAAACACAGCCACGTGACATCGTCGGGTTGCTCATGCAAATCAGGGTGGCTAGAAGAACAGTGGGGTTGTTTCCTCGTAACCTTCCCTAGATCTCACTTACATGTTGCATTGCGGATGGAAGACCTCCTGCACCACCTTTCACAAGCCTTGGAATGAGATTCCCCTGTAATTAAATGCCAGCACATGTTATGGTTTCAATAATTAATAGATTGATTTCGTGGTGCAAACTGGATTTCACCCATCCGCAGTATAGGGAAGCCTTCACCATTGTCCAAGTTGAAGGATTCCTTTGGTTGCCAATACACGAACACCCGAAGCAGAAAGGAGCCTCCATAGGGCCATAGGGGTCAGGATCTCTGCCCGTTTTGAGGTCACAAGCCTTCAAATTAGGGTTTCCCCTGTAGGTACTCGTACTGGTATCCCGCAGAATGCCAACCTAAAAAATAGTTTTTGCTCAAACTGATGGTTGGTGAATCCCCTTTTTTATGGGTAGTTCTTTCGGATCCAGGTACATGGAAACCAGCTATTCTCCTTTTGGTTTTTTAAGGGTGGCTCTTGCCAGCCCTGGGTTGACTACGGGAAATGGAAGCGCTGGGCATGGCCCAGCCCCCGAAACGCGCTAGGCGAGAAGGAGCCGGTGAGTTCTCAGGTGGGACACGGCGTCAGATTTTTGCTCGCGCGATCCAAGGACCACTTTTGGGGTTCCCGTATTTTGACACAAACCATGTGGATGGTTTCGCAAATTTTGCGAGTCTCGCACCACCGAACTCAGAAACCCAACCGAATGATACGATTCCCGCTGGAAATACCAAGAAACGTCATGGATTCAACCATGTTTCGGTGGCGCGCGTCGTGGATTTTCGCCACCTTCCACAGGCATTGCAGCCGAAAAAAGTGAGACGTTTCGTGACCAATTTGTCTCTAGATGCCAATGGCCTTTAGTCCCATTGGTGACTCTGAATCAGACATGGAGACCGGGTTGGGATCCTAATTTGCCCTGAGCTCAAATAAATCCTTCCAAATGCCCCCGTTCTCAAAATTCCAGGTTAGTGTCCTTTTGGTTCCTCTGACGGTCCAAGAAAGGGGGCGAGCGACTCCCACTTTTGGAGAAACACCGATATGTTACGCCTACCTAGCCGCTGCTTTGACGTGCAGGCCCCCTTTTTTCTCTTGGGATCTCAGAATGGCGGGTTTATTTGTTGTTTTTAGGGGCTGCGCGAAAGGACATGCTCAGCCCACTAATTGTGGCAGCTGGGGTTAGTTGGCTTGGAGCTACTGTGGATGGTTGCGAAATCCATTTCGCACGAAATGAAACCATGGTTGAAACCATAACGTTTCTTTGTATTTACAGGGAATCCTATCATTCTAAGGTTTCTCAAAGGTGGTGCATGGTTTCGTCCATCCACAGCATGGTCACCTATTTCCAGGGTGGGTTGAACATCCAAGCATGGGTTTGCCCTTTCAAACGCCATACTTGGACCGTGGGTCCCGCATGAATTCTGTGGCTCAATATCCACAGTTCATATGTCCTGCTACCCCACGGAATGAGGAAGTATCAGCCAGGGAATGTCAACCACTTTAGTCTCAGGCCTCGGCTGAACAGACTAGTATTGATATTACACTATCATTGTTGCAAGCTACTATTACTTTTGCTAGTGCTATTATAACTAGTATTGGTGTTATATAGTATTCATAATAATCATGATCAGGGTTGTGGGATCAAGGGGTTTTACCCCACTTCTGTGATACAAGTTGGAATCTCCCCCTTTATATGGGGGTTAGTCTTTGGGGTTAGGCCCTTTCTGTTGTATCACAGAAGTGGGTTCCATTTCCCACAGCCCTGATCATGATCATTCTTTGGGTTTTCCATTAAACCACTAAAAGCTAAGCTTTTAGCAGGCGAGCAGCAAGCAACCGATCATATTCATGATTATTCTTTGGGTTTTCTGGAACCCCCCCCAAAGTTGGGCCAAGTGGGCTGGTCCTTTCAACCGCAGGCAGTGCCACCGCGCTCGCCTCAGCTCCACTCGTCTCAACGATCGCCTGGGAAGGTGGCATCCACCCCATATGAGTCAAAATGGGGTTTCTCAACATGGATTTCGGCCCCCTTTTTAGTTTTTTTTTTTACAGGGAAACCGAAAAGAACTAAGCCGTAAAATGGGTCCCCTATTTTGAGAAGCATCCAGATTTACCAATTGGTTAGGGGGTTCTTCCCCTCAAGTGGTCTGAATCCCGACTCAACCCAGGGACACCCCGTATTGATGAACTGGGGTGGATTAATATGGGGGCAACATCACCACTCCACTTGTGCTTCCAACTTGCCTTTCAGAATGTGTTTTGCTGGGAATGTATCACTGCTGGAAATACTGTGGATGGACGAAATCCTGCACCACTTTGAAGCCATGGGACACCATTTGTTTGTTGGTATTGACAGGGGAATCATCATTCTAGGACTTCTTAGGTGGTGCAGGATTTCGTCCACCCACAGTATTGACCAAGAAGTGTTTCCTGGGGGCGGTTTCTTCGCGAATGGAGGTCGTGGGAAACCATGGTCTTTACTTCTACCTAGTTTTTTACTTCTACCTAGACCCTCAAAAATCCAACTGAAGTATGGGTGATTGCAATTCACAATTATGGTGGGTGAGTTTCCTTTGTTTTATGGATAGTTTGAGGGTCCAGGTAGATTCACCGTGGTGCAATTTGTCTCAATGCTTCGTGGCTCTCTGGCAGCTGGGACCGGAAGACCTCATGAGACCTCGATGCGTAAGGTCCGAGTGGCTTGGGCTGGAGGACGGCCTCGTTTCAACCAACTCCAAAGACCCATGGGTCGAAACGGAGCCTGGACCCAAAAGAACTACCTGCATTCTCCATGACTGTTTAAAAATGGGATCCCATTTTTAAAGGGTCAGAAGGAGAATACAGGTACCCAAAAGCACAAGAAATTCGCCATGTGGGAATTTCGAGGGTCCAGGTGGAAAGAAGGCCTGGCGCTTGCGCGCTCGAAGATTGTGCGTGGAATCCCCGAAATGATCTTGCTTTCCTCATGCGGGAACTGGGCCTGTTGAACCACTGCGATATCAATGGGAGTTCAGTTGGGTGTCACGGAGGGGAGTTCACGTGAATTATCCGAGACCTCCAGTGGGGCCTGTTTGTCCTTTGAAGGGTGGGTTCCCCTTCGAACCTGACTGCACCAGTTTTGTGAATGCACTTTCTGTCCCCACTAGGATTTCTGTCGCCACTAGGCCTAAGTTTGAGTTTCACATGTTGAAATCCAAGCAGGGAAACAGGTAAACAAAGCTCACTGGTGTCTTTCCTTCTGACCCTTTAAAAATCGGGTGCATGACCCCTGTATTTTGCGTACTGCTTGAAGGGTCGGAAGAGCAGGAGACTCCTGGAACACCAAACATTCATCCATTTTTTTCGGCCGCTACACTTCATGGTCTTAATCCCAATTAAGAACAAAATCCATTCCTTTTTTTCCAGGCCTATTCCTCCGAGAGTGACACCTACAAAAGGTCTTGGCGTGGAGTCTCGACCCGGTGGAAATGGGTTCAGTACTTCGGAAAAAAAAAAAAACAAATGCGCCGTTTTTGGGTCATGGAGACTCCGGGTAAGTTACCTGCTACCATCTCCAATTCTCATGCAAATTCATCATGCAAACTCCAATTCTTCAATTCTGCTACCCTGTTCGGAAAAACTCATACCTAAATAAAGCAAATAAATAAATGAATATATATATATATACCAACTCCAGTTCTCATCATGCAACTCCATGTCGACATTGTAGCTTTAACGTCCTTTTGCGCGGAGAAGGGCAGCCCGGATTCAGCAAGTGAGAAAACCGACCACCCGAAGCTCGGGCGGCAGGAGCCGGTTTGCGCTGCCCGCCCGGAGTTGCCAGAGGCGCGAGCGGCTTCCGCGACAGAGCGAAGACGTCGACCAGGTTTCTCGACCCGGGCGTCCTCCAGTTGCGCCCTTTGCCCTTCTTTTCCGCCTTAAGCAGACCTGGACCCTCAACCCATCAGAGAGGGAAGTCACCAACCATGCTTGCGGGTTGATGCGGGTTGCATTGTTCCCTTGTTTAGGCTGGGAAAATTTCGAGGTACGCGAAAACAAGACGCCGCTTGCTTCCCTTGGCCACTGGGTGGGTGGGTAGTGGCTGGAAACTGAGCTGTGTCCAACAGAGGATGGATGGATTTTCTCGCTTTTCCAGAGCCAAGGCCAAGGCATTCAAGAGTCCAACGGGACACCCCCCGGCGAGGTTCCATGTTAGTGGTTGGGAGTTCCAGTAGAACCTATCACATTTCCATCCCGAGGTGCAACTCCCTGCATGGGCTAGTTGATCCAAGCGAATACTGTACATGGAGGGGTGTTGAACATTCAATCCCAGGATTGAAATTGGCCCCTGAAAAAAACCCATCAGAGATCATGTAAAATTATGATCTGGACCCGAAATTAATTCCCAGCCTTAAAAATGGGTTGTTTCAACCCAACACGCATGGCATGGGTGAATTCCATTTTTCGTTTATGGGTAGTTCTTTCCGGTCCAGGTACCCAGTACGCGGGAAGACCACCCATTGAAGTGGTAAATGATAAATTTGAACTTGTGGCTGGCCAATCCATGTTGAGGCTGGACGAAAGTCCATTTCGCACCACCTAAGCAACACTGGAATGATGATTCCCATTTAACTACCGTATCATGGTTTCAACGTGGTGCAGGATTTTGTCCATCCACAGTTTTGAGGAAGTTCGTGTGGCTCATTGGCCAATGACCCCGAAAGGCGGTTAATAGCTTAGGTTCACGAGTCCTTTAAGCCCTATGGAACAGGGAGTTTTCTTGAGCTGCCCCCTGCCTGAATTCCGCCCATTCCCAAGAGCTTTCTTTGGGCGTGTTTCTTTTGGAGCCTTTGGCTCGGATTTACGGAGAACCCAGAAGAACAACTGCGTGTCTTGATGCCCAGTGGCCATGGAAAAAAAATTGGCATTAGTTTTTGGTTGGCTGAGTTGAAAGGAATCGGAACCCTTCCCCCAAAAAGGCGGAAAGAAGGGGCAAGACCGGTGTGTTTTTTGTGTGCGGGGCGGTCCCTAATTTGAGACAACCCCCCCGCTGGGTTTCAGCGCTCGGATCTCATGTCCGTTCGGATCTCATGTCCAGGCGGACCTCGCTGCCAAGCCGGTCAGCGCCGCAGCCGGGAGTGTCCACCCATTTTGCCTCACGTTCCAAGTGCCACCTATTTCTGTGTTGGTGTTTTTGTTTGGGGGGTCTTTGATTTGTGTTATAGTTATTATTTGATGATTCTGTTTTCCCTCTTTTTTTTTGGGGGGGGGGTCTTTAAACACCAACCGACCAAGAAAGGTGGCCACAATCTTTTTTCCCCATTGAAATTCCCACTGGGCTGTAGACAAAGAAAACGGAGTTTGCTTGCAAACCGCTTGGAATCCCCAGTTTCAGACCCTTTGAGGGGTTCCAATGGCTCGATGGAAGCAAGAAGCCTGGAACTCGACTGTGAATGTGGGTCCCCCCCAAAAGAACGCGGGGTACCGTTCGGTTTCTTCCCGGGGTTCCCTGAAAAAAGCAAGAAAAAAGACAAGCCCGTGTTCATGGGGCTCTTTGATGGACATCATGGGATGAATTTGTCGTCCAAGCGCTCGTGAGGTGGTTCCAACTCTCACAAAACCATCAAAGCGAATTCATCAAAGAGCCATTTCAAGAGCCAAGATGTCCAACCTGTTCTAGGTGGAGCCAAGTGTTGCCAGCAAGGTGCATGTTATTCACTGACGACTTCTGTGAGAAGATATCTTTGCACCGGACAGACAAGAAGCAAACACTTGGAAGATGTTGAAGTGCATCATCTATGATGTTATATATATATATATAGAAAGACGGCAATGGTGGCATACGAATTTCCAGTGTTCAGCCTTGCTTGAACCATGTTGTAAACCTCAGCGGCACTTTGCTCAAGACTTCCTGACGCGTTCAACTGATGGCTGGCAAAAGGGCAGTGGCAAATGCTTTGTCGGCTCGGGACATTGCTGATATCACTGTGTCTGTGAACTACCGGCTGGACACAGGACCCTGACACCAAGTGGTTTGCTCTCTTTCTTTCTTTTTTTAACAAAGCAGGCTGGTTTAGGGGGGGGGGGGTCCTATAGAATCAAGTGTCAAAAAGGGTTTGGTGAAGTGGTTTGCTCATTTAATCCCATGTTGGTTTAGAGGGTTCCCTATAAAATCAACTCTGCAAAAAGGCGCATCCCCCCCTCCCCATAAAGGTCGCTGGTGCAGGATTTCAGCAGGACGAGTCCCGCCCGGAGAGCATGGGGAAGGTGATGCCAGTTTCGGTGAAGATGTTGGACGCGCGGTCCCGCAAGCTGTCCATGCTGGAGAATGGATTCGAGCTGATCGATCAGCCTACGGGTATCATGGCTTTGAGCGAATCGCGGACAGACCTTTTGGTTTAATAAGTGCCTGGACCCTCAAACTACCCGTAGAAGCAGGGATTCACTCATATTTTGTTTGGCGTTGCAATAGACCTTTTTAAGCCAGTCCGTTTACGACCTCTTGCTTCGGCTTGAGTTGCGCAGGTATGTCTCGGGAGGATTTCTTCAATGACCAGCTGGTGAAGCAAAAGTACTACCCTCTGTGCCAAGAAGCGATCAAACAGGTGACCGGAGCGCCGATTGTGATGTGTTTTCATCACCTGGTTCGTGGACATGCAACTGGAGAGCCCTTTGCTGGAATTGCACCATAGCGCTTCTGGAGCGCGTGTTTTTTTTTGGTTTTTGCTTTTTCGCCGTTGGCCTGGTTGGTTGTCCTTTCGAAACAGAACACCCTTGACTTTTTGCAGGGTGTCGGATCCGTTTAGCCCAGGCACACGCCGACTATTCAACCAAGACTGCTCACAAAGTGCTGCAAGACATGCCGCCGCCGGGGATCAAAGAATTCAAGGGCAGGCTATGTGTGCTGAACCTCTGGCGCAACATCAACCCAGACAGCCCCTTGCAAAATCATTTCCTGGCGATGTGACTTGGCTGCTATTTGGCTGGATGTTTGACCTTCAATCCTTTAGCTTTGACAAAGTGTGTGTATGTGTGTGTGTGCCTCCCTCTTCCCAGTTGCCCAGTGGTGCCCTTTTTTTCCCATGGTTACTGGCATCTGTGTCATAGTGTTTGTGTCTGTGTGCTTCTGACCTTAAGTTTTGCCCACGGGGAGAATTGCCACAAAGGTGTGACGGTGCCAGTGTGCTGGCCCCTGATGACTTCATCAGTGTGAGTATGGCAAAGCCTGGGAAGGAAGAAACGCACATGTATCACATGTCCGCCAACAACCACCGTCTGCACAAGTGGTACTATTATCCAGTAATGACTGCGAACGAGAGCTTGATGTTTATGCAGTATGACTCCGACCCTCACATGAAATGTCGTTACACCTTTCATTCCAGTGTATCTGTGAATGACGGGACTCTGGAGTACAAGCGAGAGAGCATAGAAGTGCGATGTGTCGCCTACTTCCCGGATGCTGAGAACACCATGCCGGACTGGACTCTGCCGGCTGACATGCGGATAGATGCTGCCGTGGATGCCTGCAAACAGCATACCCGCGGCTTTGTGACTCACCACACGGTGAGATCCCACAAGATGCTTGCTCAGCACCCTTTTTCTCCTCGGTGGGTTCGTCTCTTTTTTGGGGGTGCCCTTAAAGGACACTAAAAGGAAACCCACCATATTTATATATATATATATATATATTTGTTGGGCGGGGGGGGAGGGGGGCGAACAAAAAGTGCACCGTGGTCTTGTGTTGCGGAACTGTTTCTCTTTTAAGTCAGCCATCACCAGGGTGCATTCGTTTTCTTTTGTTTTTCTCTTCTTTCCGCTGCTGTTCTGAGGATGGGAGCTGCCTCTTACATCATGGCGGAGAATCACAAGGGTTGGATCCTCGAGTTCTTGGAACACAACCGCAAGGTAGCACACCATGCTGCATCTCAGTTGCCGAGCGCGAAGCGACCGGATTCTGACCTCTTGGTTTCCTTTAATTTGGGCCATGGTGCGTCCAGGTGTCAACAGCTGGTCCTTTTGTTGTCCAGGTCTTTCGGGCGAGTGAGGCATATAAGGATCTCACTGATGATCAGCAGGATGAAGTGGCCGAGATGGTACTGAAGGACACGTCCTGGAAGCGTTTCATGGATGAATGGGCACCAAGCATGTATGACGGCAAGGATGCGCTCGGCGTGGCGGTGGAGTTTGTCGAGCAGCACCTGCTGAGTTTCCCGAGCTGGGACGCGGTAAACCGCGACAGGACGAAGGCCGCCATCCAAGCTGGGCATATGAAGGAGATGGTCATAGGCGCGGGGTCCGTTGAAAGCCTGCCTGGAGTCTCCATGACCAATCAAAAACGGGTCCATGACCCCTTTATTTTGGCCCATGTTTGAACTCTAGGTGGGTTCCAAGATCACCTGGTTCTGGGTCAATATGGCCATGGGGAATAACCTATGGCTCCAGTTTGGGCTGGATGAACTTCCATTTGCCACCTATTTTGATGTTCACCAGGCAGGGTTTTTGACCCACAGCCATATGAAACCACCAGAAAACTGCAGGTTTTGGTCCATGTTTACATCTAGGGCCCTAGCCCCATTTTGGACACCAGTTTTTGACCAGCCATTTGTTGGCCACCAGGAACTTGTGCGCATTTCAAAGGCCAAGATCGTTATCCCTTCACTGCCTTAAAGGCCAGTGACTGGCCAACCGTTTGGAAGAGATTGCAAGCTACAGAACTGCAAGAAAAGCTTCGCGACTTAGCTCAAGAAGTTTTAGCTTCGAATTCCGGTTAAACCGGCATGGCTCAGAAGGGATCGGAAAGGCTCGCCACAACTCAGTTGTCCAAAGCGAATCGAGCTTTGATTTGTTGGCTTTCCAATGTTGGTCCATGTTTAGTCAAGGTCCCAAAGGTTGACCTTTTTCTGCAGGTTGTAACAAACTGGAGGCCTCTTTGGATGACTCCATTCATGCAAGTGGTTCATATCCTGTCGTTCAATGTCAGGAGGCCGGATACCAAGAGCTTTCCATGGGTCCCTTTTGGAAGTCGTGCAAGGTGGCATGTATACGCCACTTCGGCCACTTAGCCAAAAATGCCATTGCCAGACTTCAGTACCTGGACCCTCAAGCTACCTTCAATAGAAGGGGATTCGCCCCAAATCAGCTCATAGCTCGGTGCAACAAAACATGTTTTAGAATTTCGAGGGTCCAGGTATCCTTTTCAACTTTTCACCCTTTCGAGGGTCGAGTCTTGCAGTTGTCTACGTTTGGCCAAGTACCCTCTTTCTCAGCGGGGTGGTCATCCAAGCTGGGGCTTTTCATCGGCAATCCGGGACAGCTCCACGTTGCAAAAAGGAACAATCTCGCGCAGCTTGAGCTTGCAGATATCTCCAACTCCAAACTAATTTTTCCCAACAGCTGAAAGCTATGGGGTCTCTGCCCACATAGGCTACGGAGTGGTTCGGAGCTGAGCGAGGGCTAGGGTGCCGGAGATGGGGATCCACCTGGTTGCTTATTCTCCAACAGATTCCTCAACAAGAGGCCACATGAAGAGAACCGAACGCCAAAAGCTTGAAGTTGGTGCAATGGGGAGCAAAGCACCCACTAAACATAGACCCTGCAACAGGGGTCGTAGAAGACCTTTTTTTGTTCAAGGAGACCGGGTCAACCTGTGTAGACGCCCATGCGTAGAGGGTAGGACTCCGAAGCAAGACGCAGTGGTTCTTCCCCAGCTGGTAGCTTAGGGCTCGCATTCGCAGCAACTTTCAGGAAGTTCCGCGGATTCGGTTCTCGGGGGGCGTTCCGGTTGTGGGGCTGTTGGGTCCCGATGCCACCGATTGTCTTATATGTGGATCCCAGGCAAGCCACTGATGTGGACCCCATATAAATCAACCCCAGTTTAGGAATAGGGGGTGCTTCCCTCCAAAGTAATGATTCCTCACTAAACCCAGAGACACCCCCTATTTACAAACTGGGGTTGATTCGTATGGGGTCAACAATCTCCCTTCGCCATGTTCTTTTTGGTTTCTTGGTTACCTATAGTGTGCAATGGACTCGGGAGATTCAAATTCCTACGGACTTCAGCCCACCCGGAGACTCTTCTGAGAGTTTTATAGCTTTGGGGGCAGTTTGCTGTCAGGTAGACAGAACTTAAACCTTGGTTTTCGAAAGATTTGAAGGAGACAGCGATCCCTCCATGAGACGAAAACATGCAATCATGGCGACCCTCCTGACAGAATCTACATGATGTGGTGAATGCTGGTTCTAAGGCTAGCTTCCCCATTCTTTCCAGGGATCCTTCTTTCTAGAAAACCACCAAAAACTCTGGGAAAACGGATCTGGTTTTTGAAAAGAGCATTCGCCAAATGCCCCCCAAATGTTCATCGAGTGTCAGAAAATTGGAGACTCCGGGAATCGCATGGCCGGAGTGACTCCAGCCATGAGGTTGGGATTTATGAACAAAAAATCCCCCTATGCAATGCGAAGTGAGCCAGTGGTCTTGGTCGAGCCAGTGGTCTTGCTGCAGAAAGGTAGGTAAGGCGGGCGGTCTGCCCATTGATCCTGAAGCATCGAAAACTCGAACTCAAAAAGGAATCCGGAGAAGCACAATAAACAGCAGCAGCCGCAGACATGTTAGGCAACAAGCTGCACGCCCGATGGTTTGCTAGCAAGCACCAAGTAAGTGTTGCAATCAACTAACAGTTGCAGCAGTCCCAGATGTGCGACAGCCTGCCATTGCACTTAGACCTTTTTCCTGCGGGAGGGTTTCATGACATGTTCTACTGAGAGTCTAACTTTTAACAAGAGATCATTGAACCACCAAGCTGTTGAAACAGGGAACCTAGCATTGCCAGGACTTCGCTTGTTTGTTGCTTTGAATGAACTACCGCCAACACTTGGGACCAGTTGGTAATAGTTTATCCATGTTTATCCTAGTATCTATAGGGCTTCATCCATTGAATCGGGCGAAGCGGATTTTGTCCATCCACAGCAAGTACAGCCGCCCTTTTGTTTTGTGGACTACTTTGATATTAAGCTTTGAGTGTGACTCAACTGGACATGCTGCAAGAGTTCCTTACACGCTGCTGTTTTTGATGTCTCAGCCCCTTGGCCCATGGCCTTCAGACCTTTTGGACACAAATTGCCTTTGCAAAGGTTATTTGGATCCTCACTTCCTTAAACATGTGTGTGTGTGCTCACAATTATGGGGTGAATTCCCTTCTTTGGGTGGTATAGTTTGAGGGCCCAGGTATACCCGCTACCCAAAATACCCGTTGTTTCAGGGTATTTTTAGGAAAACCCGGCTTTCCGTGGTAAATACCTCCTTTTTTGGTAGAGGGTCGACATGATACCCTGAAAGAAGCTCGGGTATTTGGAGTAGGGGGTACCTTTGGCTCAGGGGGAGGAGCAACCCAGACTTGGATTGCAGGGCGCCTTCAAAGATACATTTTTCCCAGTTGAAACATGGCTTTTTCCACCAAAATAAAGGGAACCCACCATTCACAAGGCAATCTTCAGGTGTATAATGCATCCGGATCCCTGGGATTGTACATGCAAATCGTGCCCAGGACCGGTGGCCAGACGCGCAGATTTGGCAGGCCTTGGAATACAGCTGAGCGCCCGCAGCACCCAGCGATTCCAGTGCCCTGCTTCATGGAGGTTATGGCCAAACCTTTATGTACGCCTTAATCGAAAAGTCAAATGGGTTTTGGGCATTTCTAAAAAGTGATCTTGGCTCCCGTGTCCTTGCACCCACAGCATGTTCGGCAAACTTTGCCAAGAGTTGGCAGGTTCTTGCCAAAACTTGACCGCTGCAACCTCCGTTCCCCTGACTCGTTGAGAGCTCTTTGGATTAGCCTAAACCAAGGTGTTGCCCATTTCCCCAAAGGAGCACCCCTTCGTTTAAATCTGCCTGGGCCCTCCAACCCACAAAAAAGTGGGAACTAAAGCAAGCAGTTTTTAGTTGGAATTTTGAGGGTTTAGTGGCACTTTCGGGCCTTTTCCAACAACTGGAACCCTTCTCACTTCCTGAGTTCATGGTCTTGATACTTTTGGGCTTTGGACCATTTCATTCGTAAACAACCAGTTCGCACCTTCCTTTTGGACCATCCACTCGGAAGTGCGCCTTCTGCCCCCGCGCAACTCCTGCAGGAGAGCGCGAGCGCAGCTCAGCAGGCACCAGCGCGCGAAATCGCTCGCTCGCGCGCGAAATCGCTCGCTGAGGGAAGATGGCTTTGGACAGAATATGTTAAAACCTGCTGGTGGCAAGACCATGCTAGTGGTACCTAGAGTCTCCAGGACCCTAAAAAATGGGGTCATAGCCCCTTAACATGTTTAAAGATTTCCCCAATCCTCAGAGGGTCTCTCCTTTCAGAAGCCACCAAGAAAGCACCATTGTTTTTGGCTGTTAAAGCATTTCCCTGGAGAAAAATGTCTACACACCTAGAAAGGACCCGTTTGGGCAGTGGATCTCAGGCAGGCCGGTGTAGTAGGGAACCAGCCATTGTCCTTGGCTGTGGGTCAAAACCAATGAATGGCAGCATTTTGGGGTGGGTGCACCACTCATTTTAGAGCCTATATTAGTGGGGATTGGGATGTTCACTGGGGGTACGAGTTTTTGACCCATGGCAATATGTTGAAACATTTCCCTGGCAAAAAGGTCCAAAGAAATACCCAGATTTGTTTTTCTCCCTGGAAATAGAGACCTAGAAGACCATAAAACAAGAGAGTTCACCAATTCCATACTTTTGGGTTGCAATAAACCATTTTGAAGCTGGACCTCTAACGAACTGCCCAGAACAAGGGGGAATTCACGCCGAATTTGGAGTTCAGGGGATGTTGAGGGTCCTACCCCCCACTACAAAGTGGGAATTCACCAATTCACCATCATTTTGGGCTGCAGGCAACTCATTCCATGTTTAAGTAAGGGAATGTTGAGGGTCCAGGTGGTTACCTGTCCGGATCTCACATGAATGTTGGGGGTTGGTTTCCCTAAAACCAAAAAGTGCCCTTCTCTGGCCTCACGTCAAGTGAGTTTGCTTTCAGTGGGGTGAGGTTTAAGGCGCAAATCGGGATGCGGGACCAAGATCAGGAGACCTGTGTTCAGTTTCTAAAGGCCCTCTTGAAGTCTTGGGAAGCGCTGTGCCCAAGAAAACCAGAGGGCTCCTAAAATTGCCTGTGCCGGCAAACTTGAAGCTCTCAGTAGGGTTCTGAATCATGCAGTGCAGGCCCAAGAAGTTGGAACTTTCTTTTGTTAGTGATCTCAGAAGGTCAGAACTGCGAACCTTGAAAGATTCCCCCAACATGTTTAGTCTTCTAGGTCCCCCAGTAGTGCCCTTTCTCACCCCTTTTTTGGTTGGGAGGGTTCCCCTACTAAATAGCCTCATTCTGACCTCTCGACTGGAGGACCTAGTCTTACTCCCCCTAAGAATGCTGGGACCTCAAGTGTCCAGAGCCATCCAGCGGAGATCCTGACCCCACCATTGGAGGATCCAATGCTTAGGGCAGCACGAAGCTTGAGTTGGATCTTTAGACTTTATCAAGTTGGGTTTTCCACTAAACCCCCAAGAAGTTTAACTTTTTGCAGGGGGTCAACAGCAACCAAGGAAGCCCACCAGAAAATCGAGTTCTTGAGGAAGAGTGTCTTCCGATAGCCAAAGGGGGAGTCTTTGGCGGGGTGCTTGAATGTTCAACCTGCTTAGTAGTAATCAACCCCTGGTTGATTAGTACAGGTGTCCCATTTTAGGGGATCCTTCACTGTTGTTTGTTTCTTTTTTCGGAACCTAATTTTCTTCCAAGCGGTGTATTAGTCGAGTCCTGTCAACATGAAAGAAAGATCAGGTCGAGCAAAGCACAAGTCCCTTTGTTTGGCAGGAGCCCTTGTTTGATGGTTGGCTTGTGCGCTAGAGCCTGCGGTGTACGTGACTGGACTCCCACGCACACGCACGACCACGCACAAACACAAACACACACACAAATACAAACACTCAAAGCACACCGACACACACACAAAACAACACACACACAGACACACACACAAATACACACACAAATACACACACACACAAATACACCAACAAATACAGACACAAACACACACACACAAATGCACACACACACACAAATACACACACAAATACACACAAATACACACAAATACACACACACAAATACACACACAAATACACGCACAAATGCACACACACAAAACAACACAAACACACACACACACACCCACCCACCCACCCACCCACCCACCCACCCACCCACCCACGCACGCACGCACGCACGCACGGACGGACGGACGGACGGACGGACGCACGCACCCACACACACACACACCAGACACACACACCCACCACACACACACACACACACACACGCGCGCGCGCGCACGCACGCACGCACGCACGCACACACACACACACACAAATACACACAAACACACACAAATACACACACACAAATACACACAAATACACAAATGCACACACAAATTCACACAAATACACACACAAATACAGACACAAATGCAGACACAAATACACACACAAACACACAAGCAAATACACACACAAATACACACACAAATACACACAAATACAAACACAAATACACACACAAATACACACACACACAAATACACACAAATGCACACACAAATGCACACACAAATTCACACAAATACAAACACAAATACAAACACAAATACACACAAATACACACACAAATACAGACACAAATGCAGACACAAATACACACACAAACACACAAGCAAATACACACACACAAATACACACACAAATACACACACAAATACACGCACAAATGCACACACACAAATACACACACACAAATGCGCACACACACAAATACACACACAAATGCACACACACACAAATACACACACACACACAAATACACACAAATACGCACACAAATACACACACACAAATACACACAAATACACACACAAATACAAACACTCAAAGCACACCGACACACACTTAAACTCCAGATGGAGAGTGCTAATCTTTCGAGTACAACTGATGAGTCTCGAGTACAACTGATGAGTCTCGAGTGGGTGTGGGTTCAGCTCGCAATGCACTCGGTTTCACTCTAGTGTCGAAAACGTTACCAGTTCCAACATGAAGCACACACAGCGAGCGAAAGGAGAGGGCCAAAAGGACTTTCATCAACATCACTTCACAAACGCAGGTACACACGGGTGATCAATCCGTGCATCCACCATCAAGCATAGCTTCGTTGGCCAGCGTTTGCTTGATGGCCGCTGGCCCCCTGCTGAGAAACCGAAAGGGTGGTGACAGGGCATTCTGTCACTCCGCACACACACGCCCCTCAATGAGGGGCGAGGAGTCTCCTTTTCCGCAGGAAGATCACATGCTCAACCCCGTGTCCCTATCGTTGACCAAAAAATCCACCGCGGCGAGGGGAACGAGAAACAGCCCTAAACCGCTCAGAAGACGGGAACGAGAGATCACCACGTTGAGCATTACGAGTGTCGCCATAGAGGACTGAAGCGAGTTGTGAAGCAGTCGAGCGATCACCATGAGAAAACGGAGTAGCATAGGTGAACGTCTCCTCAACTGGAATGGCATCGGAATTCCGAACTTCACCAAGAGATTGATCATGCGAATGATGAGTTGTGAAGGACTCCATTCGAGACAGAATGCGCTGGTATCCCTGATGCTGCCAGTCGCGGATGGTCCATGCCTGACCGTGCTCACCAGTGCGCCCATTGGGATCAGTCACCCGCTGCCATTCCCGAAAAGAATTGTCTGGTAGATCAGGTACAGTTTCTCCGTGGTGCCATCGCTGAGGCTGTCCTGCAGTGTAGATCCGCACCCACTCCTGATCCTGCCAGACCGAGTATTCGAGCCATGGGTGCTGCTTCGAATCCTCGATGTCCATGTCGAAGTAAGAGGCAAGGCGTATCGCGGGCTCCGATCCAGCTGATAGAGGAACAGGCACCATGCACAACCATGTACAAGCAACAACCAAGCAAGGTAATGCAAGTGTGAAACCACCCTTATTTTGTACGCTACCCCACTCGCGTGCGTCTAGTCCTCATTTAGCTCGAAGATAGGTCTCGCCTTGGCTTTGCAGCTGTCGGAAGGATTAACAGGCCGGTATGGTTCGGAGACCCCAACCGTCTCCGATGGTGTGATTCCACGTGATGCACGTACAGGTTGATGAAGTTGGGAAGCGTGACGTGCGCGAGCTGTCAGTTGTTGAGAAATCCCCTCTTGGAGACGAGTCAGTTCTTCGGTAGAGAAATCCGCCGCATCCGAGGATCTAAGGATCGCTTCTAACATCTGCGGTGACATACTCAATGCCGCGGATTGCGTGGCCACGCTGTGATGATCAGGAAAAGACATAGAATCAAAGTCATGACCAGCTTGAGGGGCAGCGACTCTCCGATAGCCCTCTGTGGCCCAGTCTCTTTTGTACCACATGGTGACATTGAGCTGCTCACCGTCTTGGTCCGGGTTGGGAGCATAGAACTCCCTCCACTCTCTATACGTGTGCGGTGGAGGTGGATCCTTCATGTGGATCCATGATCCCGGATGAAAGATCTTGACCCACTGGGCATCTGGTTGTTGAGGATCCGGACACCATTCCAGCCACGGCATGACAACGCAAACCCGGAAAGACAAATTAATAGGTGTACGGCTGCAGACAACAATTACTGAAAGAGACACAACTGCCACAGTGCAAGAAATCACTTTTGCAGCAATGCACGGCTCCGGTATCGAAGTCAATCACCCGAATCGAATTGAACTGAACAGACTCCCCAGGAAGGCGAGGACAAGCATCAGCCACCATCCGAGTTGGAGGATGCCGATGAAGAGGTCAATCCAGCGTACATGAGGTCCGGTGCGCCCGAAGCGAAAACTGGCCGCGCAATGCTAGGGTGTGGGCGACCCAGCCGTTGGTATCCCCTGGTGACCCAGTCTCTATAATGCCAAGTATAGAAGGATGCATAAGATACCGGCTGCGAAACAGCACCTGTATTGGTGCCGCCTGTGCTATCCCTCGGCCAATACACTTCGAAGTGGTAAACCTTGCGCCATTCCCGATAGGTGGTTGAGTCATCCGGGGCTGGTCCCAAGGTGTTCTCGGACACTGGTCATCGTAGCGATTGACGCGTAGTC